GGAGCTTTTACATTTTCAGGCTGAATGACTCAGAGGCTCCTTGTGCAACTCTGCTTAGATTTAAAATGTAAAACACAAGCTCAAGCATTTGTCTCCTTGAAATGGGAATTCATCAGTGTCTTATAATTTATTTCGATGTGAGCATACTATGTTATTTTTTTTTTCTTCCTGGAGGACGATGTAGTTGTTTAGTGTATTGCAGGGAGACAGAAAGTAGGATTTTGAGAGCAGGAAGAGGGATGTTTGCCAGAGCTCTGAAAGAAGCTGTGTGTTGATGTTATCTTGCTGGCGCCAAAGCACAGAGCACATGGAGATAAGAGTCTGCAGCGACATTCAGGAAGCACGCTTATGATGACCTGTACACAAATGTAAGCACCCAGGCAAAATACTTCACCTGCAAAAATACACGCACACACACAGCCAAGGTCAGGGTGACTTCTAGTGACAAGATATCTCACAAGAGCATTACAACATATTATAAGAGTCATACATTTCTCTGGCCTTTTCCACATCATATAGTGATTATTTGGTTGTAAAAATGTATCTGAAGGACATGAAAAGCCAACGTTTTTCTGGTTTTATGTTTGCTGTTCAAGGCTTTGTTTCATCCTCCATAAACCATATGGGATTTGTGTATACTAATGTTATTTCTTTTATTCATTTTTAAATTAAGGTTTGCCTTTTCCATATGCATGGATCTAAGGAAACATTAGCAAAGTGTGTCCTTGTATTTTCTTTGATATATTGTTTAAGATGTTTCCTGTTATGCACTTTCTGTTAATTGGTAGGTTGCAGAAATCTATGATAGAGAATTTACTTAAATGTTACATAGTTATAATATTATATATAATATATATATTATTTATTATATTATATATATTATATTATTATTATTATCCAAGTCATCTTATGTTAAATCCGAAGAAAACAAAGAAGATTTTAGGTTTCAAGAGAAAGATAGCAGACTGAACATTTCGATGAAGCTAAGGTCATCAGGTGTTTACCGGAATAGGCTGCAAATCCTCTTTAAAATAATCAGAAGTGTGATATCTTCTGCCTTCATCATTTTGGGTAGCGGCATCAGAACCAGATATTAAAAATGTTGGTTCTTTTCTGGGGAGCCGGTATATTTGGAGACGGATTTGTAAAGAAAGATTTTCTGGAAAACATTATCAGACTGTCATACAAGAACAGAGGTTCTTTAGTCAGAGGCTTCCCCAGATCCACTCTATTACTGACCTCTACAGGTGATCCTTCTTGCCCATATGAACACGTTGAAGAAAGAAACTGTATAAAAATATATTTTTGAATTAAATTTCTTGATGATATTTAATACAAAAGTTAAATTTGTGTTTTCGTTTTTAAGGTATTTACTTCGTGCCATACAGTGCAATAAAAATCTTTTGTTATTGCTTGGTATATTTCCACTTTGCCAATAGAACAGCATTTAATCTTCTATTTCAGTATTTCATAAACTTGGAGCTTTAAGATAGATGGATCTCTGACCCAATCTCTCAAGGTCATCCTGAATCCCGCGTCCTCTCATGCTCCATTTTTCTGGTCACGCTAGAGGTAATCCATAGGATTGAGGTATGTGGAAAGAGAGGGCCATAAAATAATTTTTGTGACTTTGGTGATTGTAAAATGATAATTATAATGTATTTTGCGTCATCTTACTTCTTAAAAAAACAAATAGAGCCAAATCATTTGTTTGGCAGGAACCACCATTTTTTTAAATTCTAAATATTTTGTTATTTATTCTATTTATTGCAGTTATCTTTTCCAGACTAATCTCCCATCTAGAGTGGATGGAGATAACATTTGATGGGTGCTACTCAGATGAGACTTTGCTGCAGTTCTCTTTGGAGTGAAATTCAGAGTATTTATTGTTGCCACCTTTACCGTCCTGCTTAGCCTTCATTGCATGATGATTTCTGGTGACCAGTGAATAAAAGAAATGGATATCACAAAAAAAGAATAAATAAAAGTGTTTCAGTTAAGTCTGTTTTTAAAAAGTTGCTTTAGATGCCAAAAACTGCAGCATCAGTCATTTTTATTTGTTAAAATAGCTACTCTAACATTATTGAATCTTAAAGGGAGTATTTAAATGCACTGAATGAATATACTTAAAAGGTTGGAGTTTTAAAAAGCTGTTAGTGTGACACAATGCTGCTGTAACAAAGGATGCATTAATTTTGTACATTAGGGGTGCCATTAGGTTTAGCCTGTCTACAGTTCATTTCAGAAGCAATCTTTATAATTCCAAGCAGAGGAAAAACACCGCGACGAGAATAAACAGCATTTGTGTCTTTTCTTACTTGGTCATTTTATTGAAGAAATGTTTTTCCCCTCCAAGTTCCCACTTAACAAAGGATGGTAATGTTTAGGTCTTTGAAGCTCCCTTAAATAATCAGCACTGCTCTATGTGGCTAAGTGTACCTCTGCTAGTTTGACTCTGATACTTTATTTATCACAAGTTTTTTGGTTTGTGGATCATAGTTTCTGTTTTTGATGTTTTATGCTTGTGGTGTTGAATGCTGTTCAACTGAAAGGATTTGTACTTATATTTTTTTCCTTTGTTGATGCTTCATATGATCCGTAACCACAGCAACCATAGAAAGTAGATATTAGTAGATATTAGAAAGTAGATAATTAACATCTCTAAAGCTGGAATACTATATAAACTACTTTTGCAAGAGTGAGTTGAGTTGTAAAGGAGCCGCCAGGGGTGCAGAGCAGGTGCACAGAGACGAGAGAGAAACAAGAAGTGTAATCTTTGGCAATATGAGATCTTTAGGATGCAAGTCAGAAGAACTCCAAGCCCTAGCAAGTTGCCAGACAGAATATCACCAATGCAGCATTATGTGTTTTACTGAAACATGGCTGCAGGATACTATCTCGGACTCCAGCATCTCTCTGCCAGGCTTTCTGACCATACAAGCAGACGGAGATTTAAAGAAGACTGGAAAATTCAAAGGAGGCGGGTTGGCAGCGTTTGTGAAAAACTGATTGTGTCATCCAGGACATGTTACTTTGAAGATTAGTTACTGCAACAAAGATATTGAGCTGTTTGCAGTTGGTTTCAGTCATATTTGCCCAAAGAGTTCAGCAGTGTTCTCTTAGTAACCGTTTACATCCCACCTTGTGCTATTGCTGACATTGAATCAGAGGTATTAAGTTCTGTTATTGTTAAGCTCCAGACACAACAGCCAAATAAATTTTTTCAATAACTGGTGATTTTAATCACACCTTAATCTCTGCTACACTGCCAAAGTTCCAGCTGTTTGTCAGCTGCTGTATCAGAGAAAACAAAACTTTGGTCCTGTTTTATGCGAATGTCAAGGACTCCTACATCTGTAAAGACCTTCTCTTTTCAAATCATTCCATAATATTGTATTTCTCTGCTCAGATTATAAAGCACTTTATAAGAGAAAACCCACAAAACGAAAGAACTATAAGAAGATAGTATAAGGAAGCCAAAGAAGCCATGCAAGTTTGTTTTGAGGCTATAGATTGGAGTGCACTTTGTCAGCCACATGGAGAGGACATCAATGCAACATAATGTTTGTAACTGACTACATAGACTCCTGTGTAGATAACAAAATCCCTCCAAGGACAGTGAAATGCTTCCTAAATAATAAACCATGGATCAGAAGTGATATAATGCAACTCCTTAACAAGAAAAAACAAGCCTTTAAGCACTTTAAGCAAATCCTTCCCACCTACAGCTATCAACATCTACAACAACTGGTTAAAAAAACCCTATTAGTATCTGCATTTAGTTTCCTTTTAGGATTAATAAAGTATTTGAATTAAATTGAATTAAGAAGAAACACTTAAAGCAATGGTATTTGTTTGTCAGCCAATTTTAATTGGGTTTGTAAGTCGGTTTAAAGTGTCCCTTCTGATTTTTTGTCTCACCTTGGTGTTAAATGCATGTCTGTTTTGTGAATTTGTAAAAAGTCATTGGAATGAAGCTACAGTAGCCATTTATCAGCATATAGTCCAATTTTAGTTGAGCATCATGTTCTATTTCAGCATGACTGAGCGCATGATTATGGGTGAAATTTATGTCAGAGTGGTGTGAACTTAAATCTAAGAGGAATTATCTCCCTACCATGATGTATTTTATTAACGTTTTAAGAAATAAGAGAAAGAAATGGCTCCACCTTGTAAAACTAAGTAATCAATCTAAAACCAGTGTGTTTTCCTCTGGCCATTGGTCAGTATCGTCTGTTCAGATGATTTCTGGCCTCCTGATTTTGCAGACCTTGTCGCTTTGATAAGTGTACCACTTTATTTAAGTGAATCATCCAATTTGATGAACTTGCTTCACAGTGTCTTAAACTACATGGGCTTTTAACAAAGCAATCACACACTCCACTAAGCAGTGACGCCCAATAGTGTCACACACAGTTTGCCTGTATATGCAGTACATATATCTACATTTTAAGAGTAATTATATCACAACAGCCCAAGTTCTCTCCCTTGATGGAGCTTCCGGCTTTATGGTGTTTAACTAAATGGTTCTGCATGTGACGATGAGGAGACTTGTCACAGTGTAAGATTCTCGGTGCAACGTAAAGCAAAACAGGTGACGTTACCAGTTGACTTAACGGTTATTATTCATGCAAGCTCACTTCCTCTTGCTTCAGTTCACCGCTCATCCAATTTTACGGAGGTACAGAAAATGTCTGGGTACACTCGGCACGCCTGTCTTGAGAACTGCTACAATTATGGCATAGCTGCTTGATTTGACCTCTTTAGCTGTAATGTGTTGAAAATAACAACCCAGCCCTGGGTTCATTTGTAGTTCAGACACAAACACATTTAGAGAATATGAATCACATTGCACCAAATTGCAAAGTCATTATGCCGTTTTGAAATACTTCTTTAATTTTCCAAAGTATTTATTATGATTGGTCACATTTTTGTCATAAACTCCCCTTTTTCAGAGTTATTAAAGCTCAATTTTTCACAGCTTTTGTTTTCTCCTCCAGGCTCTTTGCTCCGAGTTGAAGGAGCGTGAACAGTTGGTGATCAGCACGTTGGACCAAGCCAGGATGTTTCTTGCTGACCAACCCATTGAGGGACCAGGAGAACCACGGAAAAACCTGCAGCCAAAGACTGGTTAGCTGCATATTTTCTTTTGAATCATCTGTTTGCATACATGTGCTGAGTGTTAGTTTATGTAATTTCCACCTTTTACTATCATGGTTTTCTCAGTTTTGCCATGTCTAAATACTTATCAGGGTTCCACCTTCTAATACAGCTTGGCACACAAAAGCAAACATACTTTGGGTGGATTGTTTTTAAAGGTATAGTGAAGAATATTTGTGAATTTTGGAAAAGACCTGGCCTCTCTACTAAAAAAAAAAAAAAAAAAAGTTGTTAAAAGTTGCTGTCTGCATCGATCATACAAATTAATTTTCCAAAAGAAGATTTGTAATTTTTCCTCTATGTCAGACTCTCCACCGATGAGTGAAAATGGGGACGAGCAAGTAGGATGGCCTTACGTAAATACATCACCAGAATGATTGACAATTAGGAGGACCACTTATTTTAATGATCCACCATAAAAAAAGAACATCCTCCACTATACCTTTAAGCAACGGTAACACATATAAATGCAGATATTGACTGTGGATAATATTCCTTTTCTGCACAGAGAACTTAATAGCAAGGCCTAAAGGTCAGTGCTTAAACACTATAATTTAATAGATAAACAGAGACATTGGTATAAGTTAATTTGAGTTCTGAGTTGTCGTGCACTCCCAAGTTGTGAATTTTAGTACAATATACACAGTTGTTTCAAAAGAGGCTTGTTTTGATTATTGTATTATATGCTTGCTGTTTTGAGTGTGCTTTTGCATCTGTGAGAGAAAGAAAAGGCCCTTTGAAATGTAGCTTTTTCACCCCTGATCATCTGGGAGTGCACAGTGTCATGACAGTGTCAGGTCATGTGCTCATATTCCAAAATGAATATGATCTGATGAGAAATAAAGATAGCAGACAGAGCTCTCACTGCTGTTGTTAGGACAGCTTTATGCTAAAGATAGAAGAATAAAGCACTTTTTGATGAAAATTGGTTAAAAAAAAAAAGCTTCAATGAAAGTCTGTTTACACTGTGATCATAGTTTGAGTCCCGTTCTATTTATTTCTGGTCCTGGGTTGGTTTTAAATGCGGATTATTCTTGGTAAAGCAGATCCAAACAGCACCACTCATAATAAAGAGATAATAGTGTAGAATGTTATTGAAGGTTGCTTGCTCAGGTGTATTTAAAGGACAGGACGCAGTCCTTCATGTTTAATTTCTCTGACATCAGAGGGTTCCTGATGTTCTTTCGAGCAGTAGAACGTCAGGAATATCATTCACAGTAGGATTGTATCCCAGATTATTGGGCCCGGAAGTGTAAGAACAGGGGGGAAATCAGCAGGATTATCTTGCCATGTGAATTATTTCCACCTCATTACATGAAAATATAAGTGTTCTTTAGGTTTCCTCTGATACAGTGGAGTTTCATTTAGGAATTTCCAGGTCTGGTGAATTTTGTTCTGCCCTTTCTTTCCTTTATCCATCTTCCGTGGTCCCCTCTTTCATTTTTTGTCTCCTATTACTGTCTCATTCCTTTGTTTTCTTAATTCTGTTTCTTCTTCTGCTTTTCTACATGCCTTTACTTTGTGTCCTTCCTCTTTTCTTTTCCCATCTCTTATCCAATTGATATACTTTTATTTCAGAGTTCTCACTTCATTGTTACCCTCTAATTACCAAACTGTATTAGGAAATGCTATCCTTATTTCTCATCAGTACCACATCCACTTGATTTTCACTGTGACGGCTCTGGAATTGCATGTGATGTTTTTATTAAGCTTTTATTGGAAGATTGTGTCTATTTCAATTGGCTAAGATCTTATTAGTACATGATTGAAAAGCAGTAATGGATAGGTAGTTAATTCATTAGTGAGGCTCTCTGGTGATTTTAATTTTGTGTTTGCACAATCATGATGTTTGTGCAAAAACCTGACTATAAATCTCTTAGCATATTTAATGATGCTATGAGTATATTACATAAAGAAAACAATTGGCTTAAACAGATATCTTAATAAATTAGATTTTTTAAAACATTTTTATTTGCATTTTCATGAGCAATAACCAATGTTTGCACAAGGCAACCTTTGCATTTTCTTTTTTTTTTAACAATGTTTAAAGGATGTTGGCAGTGCTTGGATAAGGTGACCTTTAAATGCCTTTCACTTAGTTCTCAATAGACAATGAGACATAGCTAGAAAATTAGAAATAAAATGTGCATCGACTCATTCAGCTCATCCTTTCTTTCTCTGGTAAATGAAGGAAAGATGCTTTGGATAAGTTGGCACATTGGCTTTGAAAATGTAATGAAGCAAAGTGAAAATGTAAGGTCAATGGGTTTTGTGAGCGAAAAGCAATGCATCATTATAGTCTCAAGATTTAACTATCATCTGAGATGACGGAAAAACGTGTCTATATGGGGGACACGGCTTTATTTTCTGCAGCTTGTGTGCCTGCAGAGAGCCGGGAGAGACTGACAATAAAAGGAGAAAGATAACTGAGGTGCAACAGGTGAAGATGGTTTTTCAGTCGCCACACAGGAGATGAGACCTTAGAACTCATAAAGGCTGCTCATCTTTCTCAGCAGTTAAAATGTTATTTAGGGAGCAGTTATCGCTTCTGCTGGCTTTCTTTTCTCTGGTGGCATCATCTGATCTTTAGCAATTACCCTATCCATTCACCTTTCCTGCTTTCTCTCTCTTTTTTTATTCCAGCCACTTCATCATGGCTGCCTTCTCCTTCCCTCTGTTTGCTTCTTATTTTGTCAGTTATTTCTCTTAATTCACAAAGGAAACACAAAATTTCAAATTAAAAGCTCAACCTTACAATTAAAGAGTGGCTGCAGCCAATCTTATGAAATGTTCTGGTTCAGCTTGAGTTGAGATATTGATTTATTTTTATTATTTGTGAATTTGCACCATAAAGTAATTAGGGTTTGATGCTGCAGCTTGGTTAAAACAAGAAAAATAATGAGGAAAGCTTATCTTTAATCTTGGGTATATTGTTTTTAGTCAACTTGTGATTAATTATGAAAGAAGTAACATGAAATATAAACCCCAGGGGAAATGGTAATTTATGGTGGACAGAAAGGCATTTATTCAGTATTATTGTTGCAGAGTTTGACACAAAACAGTATGGATGTAGAAAATGTAATTTAGGAAACTGTAGAACATTTCTAGATCCCTGCAACATCATGCATGTCTTCTGTGTTATATTATTAATTTTATCTTGAAACTGCCATGTTTTTAATGTATTTTAGTCAGTAATTTAATATTATCGAGGTGGCTTAGTCTCTACCGTATCTCCTGGCTGGTAGACAATGGAAGGTAAGCCTTACGCAGCAAATGGGTTATTTGAAATATTCACCAGTGCATACTGTTGCTTTTAAGCAAAAAATTAATTAAACAAGTTTTTGTCCATTTAGAGATTTCAAAATTTTTATTGAGCTGTCCAAAATGCAGAAAAATATTAACTTCTAGTTTTGCATTTAAATTGCTAAAATAACATGACTGGAAAATTGAATTGAATATTGCCTAGTTTTTAAAATAATTGTTCTTTTTGTTACCAACTACATATAATTGAAGTCACAGTTAAGATTTTATTAAAGGATGAATAAAAAAAACATATTTTTCTTCTTCATTAAAATTTCAGCCGACCTCACCCCAGAGGAGAAGGCCCGAGGTCTGGCCCGGGCCATCCGCAAGCAGACCGGTGAGGTGAGGGAGCGGTGGGAGCGTCTGAAGGGGCATGTGGGAGGTTGGCAGACTCAGGTGGAGCAAACCTTGGAGCGCCTGCAGGACCTGCAGAGCTCCATGGACCAGCTGGACCTGCAGCTGACCAGAGCAGAGGAGACCAAAGCTACCTGGCAGCCGGTGGGCGATTTGCTTATCGACTCTCTTCAGGACCACATCGATAAGACATCAGTGAGTTAAAGCAGTTTGCTTCTATCGGCACCGTTTGCTTTCTGATTTAAATGACATAGGTTAAACTCACAGGCTGACATATAACATGTCTGTTAAAAATTTTGTGTCCAAATATTTTAAATTATTCATAAATTGCTAGTTCAAAAGCAACTTGATTGTGAATGTTTTGTGTATTTTACGCCAAGAAATCACTATTACTAAAACTACTACTACTATTCTTTTCCTATTTCATACTTTTAATGTATATAAGATTAAAATATATTTTTGCCAGCAAGTGCTCTAAGCAGAAAGGTGCTATGTTATAAGAAACAATAGGTTGTTTCTACTTGCTGACCTGTTTAGGATAAAAAACTTTTGCTTGAAACATATAGGTTCTGCAAGGAATTAAAGGGATAGTTCGGTATTTTTGACATGAATCTGTATGGCATCTCGATCACCAGCGGCATGCTATCACACTGACTTACCCCTGGCAGCGTCCTGTGAGCAGAGTTATCGTCCAGTTTTGGTCAAGCCGAAAGTAGTCCTGCAGGTTTTTAGGTACAGCGAAATAAAACGTTTCTCTTCCCAAAACATTATGTGTCCAAAAGAGTGATATTTTCGCATCCCAAAAACATTGTAGTGGAAAAAGTCACACGTCGTTATCAATTGGTCCTATTTTCTCTCTGTTCGTATCAGTGCGCGCCGTCATTCAGACAGCGAGCCCAACAACAGCCATGTCTCCTTCCGCGGCGGAGGGAGACATGGCTGTTGATAACTCTGCTCACAGGACGCTGCCAGGGGTAAGTCAGTGTGATTGCATGCCGCTGGTGATCGGGATGCCATACAGATTCATGTCAAAAATACCGAACTATCCCTTTAAGGTGCAGGGAATGCAGTGTTTAAAGCTTATCAGTTCAATTTAAAGATACTTTATTAATCACAAAGGGAAATCAAATTCTATACTCTGTTCAGCTTTCACCTCGGTACCTAATATTCTGGCTCTAGTGAGGCAAATTGGGCACAAACAACAAGCTTAGAGCACCATGCAACACGTAGACATAGAAAACAGTTTTTCCCAACATTTTCAAAGGCTTTTTGTTTCACCCAAAGGTAACAATGATTTATTTGCAATACCTGATCACAATCTCTTTATCATATCAATATTTACAAAACAAATAAAGTGTCATCCATGGATGGTTATTCTGGTGAATCCCCGGCAGTAGGAGCTGTCTGTTGTCCACCATGTTTTTCTGTGCAGAGCTCCATATATTTTGCTTGGTGCGCTGTGCATAAAATCAGGCCACCAGGATGCTGCATGGAAGGACGTAGGTGCTTAAATATGTAATTTGGCAACACTGATGTTGCAGACAGGTCAAGCATAAATCGGGCTTGAGGCTGGTGGGTCTTTAGTTGAACGCATCACACTCAGTAGTGAAGGATCTGTGGTGCTTTTGGCCTGTTTCCATTTAACCAGGAAACTTAAGATTGAATGAAATCCAGGATATTTTGCTTGCCTTGTTGGGATTTCACATTTAACTACAGAAACTCTTTTTATTTGAAATGCTGGGGCTCTGAAAGAATATGCATCTGTGAAGTTTACCATGAAAAGCAGCGTTAAGTTGCTTTTACTGCTGTCAACCAGCCCTGTTTGATCACATTAGCCGGTCGATAGGCAACACTGCCCTGCCTTCGCTTTGATCTCTGCCACTGGACAAACACATCAGGTAGAGATAGCATGTAGCTCAGGGTAAGCTATCTGCAACTTTAACTTCTGCTTGGATGGCTGATTTTTTTTTTTACAATAAGAAATTCCCCATCAGTCCTTAATCTGTAATTCTAAGTCAGTGGAGAAAGCAAATCTTTAACCCTGTCCTGTTTTGTCTAGAATAAACCAGAGAAGAAATTCCGGCTTCTGAACAGGATAACTAAAGGATTTGAGCATAGATTATGCGTTATTACAGGTTTTAGAAATTACATGCACCTTAGAACAAGACATCCTTGTTTTTCCATCTCTCATTTCATAATGAAATCCTAAAAAAAGACATCAAATGGTTTATAAGCGTGGCAGATATCAGATCTATACAGAATTAATTTATATTTATTGCTCCATTCTTTGTTTATTGCAGCGGAGTAAAGTACAGAAAAATTGTGCTGACATATCTGTTTAAATAAATCCCTCAATCCGTTCTAAATCTAACAGAATAATATTAGATTATCTTGGAGTTGTCCCCTTGAGGTGCATATTTATTTTACCTGTGTTATCTTCTGCAAGATACAAATTGTATACATGTAAAAATACCAGACTGGAGGCTGCAAACGGATGTAACCCAATACCAGGGGATCTTGGATTGAAAACCTGAGGCTTAGCCAAGGAAAGAGAAATAGAGGAGATTAAGTGATGTACCGAAGGCAACGTGGTTATTGTGGCAACTATTGGTACCTGGCCACCAGATTAAAGAGTGAAAGCTTCCAACACTTTTTTAATGTGTATTTTGCTACCCAAATAGAAACTCGACGGGTTTTAACAACTTTATTAGACATACCAATAAAAGGGAGGGGCACTTTGTTTTTAAATTTTTATTGACTCTGTTTATACAACAAACTTCCTTCCCAGTTGCTGTTGCCTCTGGTTTGTTGTTTCTGTCATTAGTTGGTCCCATTCATCATATTCACTGCTCATCTCAAAGAGATGGAAGACCATCTGAATGACAGCAATGATGATGGCAAAGAAAGTCATCTTCCTTAAATGCATATTTTCTCATTAGTATTTTATTTAGACTTTCTGTTCATTTTCATGACAACTTGGCAAACGTGTTGCCGTTTGGACCAGATTGACACCCAGGGTGGAAATTAAACTGTAATTGTACTTTCAGGCCTTCAGGGAGGAGATCGCCCCCCTCCGTCAGGATGTCCGGGTGGTCAACGAGCTTGCTGCTGAGCTTACACCGCTGGACATTCAGCTGTCGTCTACTGCCTCCAGACAACTGGACCAACTCAACATGAGATGGAAGATTCTGCAGGTAGATAAAAATACTTTCCCTCTTTTTGTTTTCTTTTGTTTCATATTGATGTCCAAATATTTCTCTCTTTGGTGTATTTGCCTGCCTCTGTTATCTTTTTTTCTTTGATTCTATGCAGCGATTCGACTTTTGTGCAGCACTTTGTTTGTGCACATCAGTGGATGTTGTCCTCAAAGTGCCCCAGTCACATCTCTGGCTCTCTGCATGCTTGATAGTCTTGGTCTGATTCGCTGTGGTGCCTGCTGAGCTTTCTCAGACTGGAGCGTGTCTAGCCCTGAAGAGAAAAAGAGAAAACATTTCTTTACTAGTCATGAACAGTGAACATTTTTTTTTTATTCCTGAGTAATAGAATATATTTATGCAGATGTTTTAATAAATTGGGGTTTGCGATGGATAGAATTCCTCAACTATGGATTAAATCTGTCCAAGCGTTTTCGCTCTTTGTCCCTTTCCAATTAAAACAGACACTGGGATAGCCAATATAATTAATGCTGGTATCCAGAATGTGCTGGTTATGCCTTATGTGTCTAATGATGCCTTGATTTTGAAGGATACTGACAGTATTTCCACACTTCGCATTTAATTACTCAAAGATTTATTGAGCAAAAAAAAACATAATTTTGGACAAAAAAAAAATAATTGCTTAGATTGTTCTTTATTTTTAAGCTCGACTGTACTTCAGGGAGAAATTGCCAAATAGGACTAAATAGTAGTGATGTGATATTTCCAGGGACTGCAAAGACTAGCAATAATGGTCTTTTATGTTAATGAGACCATAACTCAAACACTGTGGCAGAGAATAACTGTTTTTATAGGACTGGTCCTTTTTTAACTTGTCTTGTTTTAGCCTGCAGGATTCTCTAATAAGCCTGGTCCGACTTTGCCGCCTGATGATTTCATTGCATATGCAGACAGTCACCATCTGTCTCGCTGTGGTAGAGAAGGCATAAGAAGTCATTATCTGACGATAAAAACAAGAGACACAACTACTGGCCTTTCTGTGCCCACAGCCACGATCACTGTGTGGACATCTGTAAGCTGGCTGTCATCATATCCGTGCAGATGTGAGAGTGTCCCTGTGCTGCCACACGAAAGGAGGCAAAGCAAACAGAGCACAGGTGTGCGGGCTGAGATGTCAACACGAGGCCTTTAATGGGTTTTTTGTGATTGACGAAGCGTGAAGCTTTACTTTTTATCCCCCGGACACAAAGACTGACTATTTTTCTCACTGTTTGTGTTTTAAACTTATGATTTGCTGTCATATAAGTGGTAAGCATGTACTTGCATTTTTATGTACCGTATTTGCTTTCTTGAACATACTTTTAATTTCACACACAATACTCAAACGTCACGTAATTTCTCAAAAAACAAAAAAAACGCAGTAATCTTTGAGACATTTATTGTCTGAGATATTTGGCCTCACACAAGAACCGTTCATACAAGCAAAGGTATTCTTAAATCGTTTGTACGAGTGTTTAGGAGATCTAATCTTCTCTTAGGTACGAACAAATGTTACCAGTGCTCGAGACTTGATGTTGGAGTCTTGCGCGATCAGTCGGCTGTTATTCAAACCTAGTATTTTACAAAATGACCACATTTGTTTCACTTGGAAGCAATTGTACATTTTATCGGGCTACATCATTGTATATTATACAACTCTGCAATCATAAAACTACTTTTTTTTTTATCGGTCACTACACCTACAGCTGGCATTTCGGTATCCGGGGGTTACTGGTTTAATTTGTCAGTTCGTCAAAAAGTACAAAGTACAGTCAGAGATCAAGCTACTAATGAAACCTCTGGAACAGAAAATGAATAGAAAGTTCAGCAACACAGAAACACTTCATTTCAGTCCATTGCAGCTCCTTGGCTTTGTTTTTTGCAAAAATGTGGAATGTTTGGGTCTGTCTGAATGATTCAAGTTAGAGTTTTTGCTGTTAACATTTTTGGTATGCGTTCTATGAGAGAGTGTGATGAAGGGAAAACAGACTTAGTCTGGCGATGTACAATAGACACATGCTTATATAACATTTTGCAGAATGTTTTGACTTTGTGGTTAACGGTGAACTCATGTTCAGTATTTACATCATATGCTGCACCTCCAGCCTCTATCAGTAGTTTGACTGTTTTTGGATCAAGTTATAATTTTTTTTTTAATATTTAGTTTTCTTTAATTTTTTTATTTCTTTAAAACTACAACCACCTTATTTACAGCTCTAACGGTCCTTTAATTCTCCCACTCAGCTCTCAGTTCCTTTATTTTCAAACCTGTAAAGTTGTCCTTCTTTGTCTGAGAAAGCCATTTCTTTTGAAAAGCGTGGGAAGTCGTCCCCTCAGTCAAATGTTGGCTTGTAATTATGCAGTTTGGTAGTTCTCATGAACGCATTCTCACTTACATACAGGTAGACTGCATCCCTTTTACGAGGATTGTTTGATATTTTATTGAAGTTAGACACGTTTTTTGAATCTTATGTGTCTCATCATTACTCCATCATTTATTCCTATAAATTTCAGAAAATTTCAGAATTTAATACGGACATGAAATGAAACTGTCACAGCTTTTCAGCCAAATGAATTAAGTTAACTGTGCTTTGTGTGTTAAAACAATAAAGCAATAATGCCAACTAACTGGCCGACATTATTGATGTGGTTAGAATAGCTAGGCACAGATGGCAGTTTGGGGTGTACTTTCTTGCTTAAAAACATCTCAAAACGGTTAAAAACTGAAAGTATTAAAACCATCTGTGGACTCATCTTCATGTGCTACTTTTGCTGCTGTTGGAACTAAGCGCTACAGCTATAAACAACCCCACCTATCAACAAACCTCAGGAAAGATGGAAAGAATAAAATCTTTGGTGGAACCTGGGGAAGTAAAAACTTGAGTGGAAACGCTCCCTGGGCTTTCTAAAGGCTTTTGAGTGGCAATGGAAAAGAGGCGTATGTCAATTTTGTTTTTCCTCCATAAAATCTAATATTACCCCTAGTTAAAATCAATACATTGTCTTAAAATATCTCAAAGTATTTAACATTTGTTTTAAACATTTGCTTATTTAATTTTTGTTAGGGCTTCCTGGAGTTTTTGTCCTGTGTTTGGCTCCTTGTAAGTCAGCGCTGTAGATCTAATAGCTGCAGAGACACTTCTTCACTGTCATGCCTGTCAGGCCTTCCCATAATGATCGAGTTACTTGGTGGAACTGGCAGAACTCTGCTTCGCTGTTGGACAAGGCTTATTTGTTGATTCTGACAGGCGCAAGTCGTATGTAGCTGACCATGCCATTACCATTTTGAGAGGGCTTAAGACGAACAGTGCTGTCTGCAGAGATGCACGGCCTTGACTGATTGATGCATGACTGCATTGTTTATTGCTTCGCCTTTGCATAAACCTGTCCCTGTTTCCCTGAAGGAAAGCCAGATAGACTTAATTTTTTATGTATTTTTTAATTGCTCTGGGCCAAACTGTAGTTTCTACCCACAAGTGGACTGAAAATGCATTAAGCTGGAATGAAACAGGATCATTTTGGACTGTTAAGTGTATAAAAAGTTGAAGGGAAGTTGCCCTTACAGAGGTTATAATTGGGACTCAGGATTTATTTATTTTTTATGAAAAGTATTCCTTCACCACTGAGGATGCGATATTAGATGGTTTTATAACTCTATCTTGTGGAATATTTAAATTGACTTCACTCCACATATGACATAAAGTTTTGTTGTCTTTAAATGTATTTTTTACATACACTGTGTTTTAATGTTTTCACAGGTAGCAGTGGAGGACAGACTGAAACTCCTTCAGGAAGCTCACAGAGACTTTGGCCCCTCCTCTCAGCATTTCCTCTCCAGTGAGTAGAACTAGCTGTCGAAGAAGACCAGGGTTTCTTAACCCTGGACCTCAGGGCCCACTGTCCTACATGTTTTAGGTGTTTGCCTGTCTTCATAAACCTTGCCTGAATAAAAACGTAATAAATAAACATTTGAAGGCTGCATAAGAGGGAATGCAATGATTTCAATCAGGTATGCATGAGTAAAAACACATGTAACAGATAAAGGGCAGTGGGCCCTGAGGACCAGGGTTAAAGGAATAGTACACCCAAAACATGATTAGCCTTCATTTTCTACTCACCCCCATGCTGAACAAAACTCTGGAGTACTTTTTTGATGTCTCAAATGCATCTGGAGATCTGGGAGGCTTCTTGCTGTCTGCTGACATTCAAATAATGGAGGTCTATTGGCGCCCGAGACAGAAAGGTCCATAAAAGTCCACAAAAACGTGTCAATATTCCTCCATACTGCTCGTCCAATGTAATCCAAGTGTCCTGAGTGGGTAGCATCCAGAATTTACTCGAAACGAAGTCATTTAGAACGTTTTAGAGCCTAAACAGTAGTGTATAGGATTTCCTAATAGCGCCCCCATGCGCGCTCACGATTCTACGGAAGCCGGCAGACCAAACAAGCGCATTCAGCTCGGCAAAGAACTCATGCTCATTCTCAACACTGAAGTCCTCAGACATTTTTCTTTCGTTGTTTCTTTCTTTGCACAGGTAAACAGCACATTTCTTCTTCTACGCTTGCATTATCGGCAGAGCAGACGCTGAATGCGCACTTTCTTCCGGTTTGGTCTGCCGGCTTCCGTAGAATCATGAGCGCGCATGGGGGCGCTATTAGGAAATCCTATACACTACTGTGCAGGCTCTAAAACGTTCTAAATGACTTTTTGAGTAAATTCTGGATGCTACCCACTCAGGACACTTGGATTACATTGGACGAGCAGTATGGAGGAATATTGACACGTTTTTGTGGACTTTTATGGACCTTTCTGTCTCGGTCACCATAGACCTCCATTATTTGAATGTCAGCAGACAGCAAGAAGCCTCCCAGATCTCCAGATGCATTTGAGATATCAAAAAAGTACTCCAGAGTTTTGTTCAGCATGGGGGTGAGTAGAAAATGAAGGCTAATCATGTTTTGGGTGTACTATTCCTTTAAGATACCTTGCCTCATACCTCCGGCTGAAAAACCTGTTTAAACCCGGGAACAATTGGCTTTTAGTGGCCTTGTCAACTTATCAGCTTACTTACCCGTGTGGATCCAAGTCAAACGACTCTGCAAGCAACCTGTGTTAACATCGCCTTGAAACGGCTCGGCTCCGATCGGCACACAGTGGAAACACCAGAAAAGGGCCGTCCTCCTAATATACGTGATGCCATTGATCGCAATGTATGGATGTCAACACACTGCGCCAGAGGCGTCTGATCTAACAAGCCAAAATAATTCGGTTTACGTTCGATAAACATGGTGCCGCACTGGTGAGAAAGATTCAGAGGGATAAAAGAATAACGATAAATTGCAATTACTATGCCCTGGCTCCCTTCCATACTGCTCAGCCTTTTATTTTACAAAACTGCCAGAACCACAATGGGTAAAGAAAAAAAAATATTAATAAGACAGTTTTTAAATTAGCTTTAAATGTTGGGTTTATCAGAGATTTTATGAACTTGAATTGAGTTATTCCTGTTTCTTTTTACTCAAAATACCCATTTCTCTTAGACAATATAAAAACACAGACAAAGCAGCTGAACATGAAAATCTGTTAAAGCAATTTTTTAAAAGTAAAAAATAGCTATCAGGGAAAAAACCTGCTTATATAATTTAATTTAAAAAATAAAACTATTTTAAGATACTTTAAGAATTTTTTTTTATCTTAGAGTTTTTTGTATTTCTTATATAATAAAAGTCAGAAGTGGTGTTTCATATTGTGTATTTAGTATTGAATTGTTCGAGTATAGCTAAGTATGTTTATTTTTAAGTGTACTGTAAGTATGTAAAAATTACGATATTTGGTATGACAGACTAACAGCAATGGACAAAATGTGTAAGAATTAAGTAATCAAACATGACATCAATCTGGTTATTTGCTATAAAAATGTTATCTGTATGGACATTTAACTTTGTATCATATTTGCTGGTGAAGCATCAGCTTTATAAAATCTCCCAAGGCCAACAAAAGGTAAATATATTTTAAGGTATTTTCCATTATCCTTCCCTGCAGGCCGAATTCTCATGATATTTGTAGGTTCGCAAACATCCAGGAATCAATCTAGAATCCCACTTCAGCCGTTTGGGTCGGCCAATCATGTTGCAGTCTTTTGATTTAAGGCGGAACAGATAAAAGCGATGAGCTTATAGCCGAACTGCAATAAACATGGAAGGCGTAGGAGGGCGCAGGCGTAGTGTTTTCTATCACATCTGCTTTGTCAGAATCCACTTCATCCCTTAAAAGAAATAGAGGAACGCTACAAATGTGCTGTAGTCTCTGACGGCTGCTTCTGCTTAACACATCTTCAAGCGTTACCGTGATTGGCTAAAACCCAACTTCACCCAATCGGCTGCTGTATGCCCCTCCTTTACCTGAAAGTGCGACACATTATCTATCTGGCTTCCCAGATTAATTCTCTCTCTAACTCCCTATAACTATGCATAAGAAAAAGTATTGGCATTCAGCACCTTTCAGAGTCTGCAGATTAGCCACACTTTACTTTTTCATAATGCAATGCTTAATGACAGCTTTAGTGACTCCCGCCTCCTACCTCCCTCTTTTGAGTGGTCATTAGCTCTGTACAGAAAGTTGGAGACTGAGCTCAACAGAGGAAGACAAATTCAGAATCATTAAACAAAGCAGCCTTTTTCGTCCTCCCCATGCCTCTCTCATTTCCTCATTTTTTATAATCATCCAGCCATCAGAGTTCTGCAAGCTCCACCTGATACTTTTTACTGGCTGTCAGGCACGGAGACTAAATGCTCTGCGTGTGATTCAGAGCAGGTGTTCAGTCACCACGCTGCGTCACAGCCAGACTCAAATTTACTGAGCAAGCGCTGCTGAGAGCTCAGCTAGTAGACCAGACAAAATACCAGTCATCTTTCATCTGACACTACTGTATGACACTATCTCCTACATCACACATTCACTCTCATTACCCTAGTAGCTTAATATTCCCTCGGGGATCAATAAAGTACTGTGTTCTTATCTTACCCTCTCCATCTCGTATATATCTCCCAATCTTGCTTAATCTTCTTCTCTTACTGTCTTTTCATCTCTCTATCTGAGTGTTAAGCCATGTTATGGAGGTGGGGAAGTGGTATGCCGATAAATTACAACACATTTCTTTTGCTTATTGCCTCGGAGGAGAGCGTCTTGAGTGCCGCTGTTTAGCTGGATTTAACACCACAACAGATATTAAAATGATTTCCTGCATTGATATGAAAATTTGAGATTATTTCAAGTCTGGCTTGATCACTAAGATGATTGTTTTTGTGCAAGAGGCGTTTACTACCATTGAGTTTTAATCTGAACTGATTCTTTTTTTTTTTTTGTTAAATTCTAATCTAATCTTTTCCTTTTTTTTTGTTTGCAGCATCTGTACAGCTCCCCTGGCAACGTGCAGTGTCTCAGAACAAGGTTCCCTATTACATCAAGTACGTATAAGAAAGTTTAGATCATCCAGGTTTAAACTGTTTTAATCTCTGTAAATGATGAAGTAATATTGCATTTATTACACATCAGCCCAGGGTATGTTCTAGAGATGCACACATCAATAGATTAGGTTGTTTTTCTAAGCTACAGTTTGTCAATCTTTGACCCATAAAGACAAAATGTCTAATTTAAATTACTTTAAAAGGCAGCAGCAAATATTAATTTGAAAATTTTGTGTCAGTTTGTATTTAGTAGTAAGTTATGTGATCGACAACATTCTGTCATAACGTTTGAGGTTTTCTTGGTGTAATCAGTGACTGTGAACAGCAGTTCTTCTGTCTATTTGCCAGAGAATGTTGTCTCTTGCAAAAACTAAAAACAAAACAAAACAAAACTGAACTACAAAATCCCACTGGTTCCAGGTCGGACGGTGAGATGCTGTTATAACGTGTTTCCATCAGCTTTGTCTAAATGCATTTTTAAGTATTACATCAGAAAAGCTTGATGAAAATGGGAGAATTCGAAAAAACTCTCAGACATTTTCATGCTATGTTGGTGGCTTTTGGAAAAAGGGTTAATATTCTAAATGGGGAATGGGAAACTTTTATGAAAAAGCTCTTTCTTCCATTAATGATCTTTGGTCAGGACTAGATTGCAGCCTCTACTTCCTGTGTATTACAGCCATGTGCGACGACAGAATGTCGGTGATGACGTATGAAGACATTATGCTTAAAGTACTTGGTTAACTCACCTTAAACCAAGTTCATCAAAAATTAGCTTTTTAGTTTAAAGGAAACACAGCTATGCTCTTGTTCAGCCTCTCCATTATTTGCCAAAGTTGATCTTGTTTTACTTCTAGATTTTCAACCACTACAACCTGGTTAAACAATTGACACTTATGTGGAGTCATATGTACGATGTAAAAGGAGTAAAAATGACTTTTATCTTGCTTTTTAAAATTATGATAGCATTCATAATTTGCATGTTTTCACCAAAATCAGGATAGTTTTTGCCAAACTTCCACGATTCGTAATGAAGTTTAATTTTTTATCTTCTTTTCTCTAAATTCTAGGTGATAGGACCCATTTTATCACCGTTTACCCCATTATGCTCATTGTTTCACTATTACATCCCAAAATATTGTGGTGACATTGCGATAGTCATAGAAAATTAAGGTGTCAATATGAGTCCAAAGCGCCCCAAAGAAAGCAGGACTCAAATTGTGGTTAATGCAAATTGTGAGAAAATGGCTTAGTTTCCTTCCTGAAAAGACACAAAAATGTTAAAACTATGGAGGAGCAAACTGACCTGAAGCCAATCTTTACACATCATTTGCGTGACACATGCATATCATTTTTTCTTACACATTTAAGCATTTTCTATTCAGCAAAATGCTGCTGGATATATGTTAAAGTTCAGTTGTTTCACTTTTGCTTTTCTGATTTACTTTATAAAAAGAAATCTGCCCTTTAGAATAGCTGTATCTGAGAAAAGTTGGACTGTAACAATGACTTTAATGACTTCTGGTGCATATCTTCATTCCCATCACAGCTCTTACCTCTTCCAGCCAGATCCTAGGTTGCAGCTTATTTTGCTCCTCAGGAAATGTCAGCTTTAAAAATGTTGGAGTCTCATTAGGGATTTGGGACAAAATCTGACCACTGTTACCACTGTTTAAAGTGATGCTCTAACTTTCATCTGTCAAGGATTGCAGTGACAGTACCTGAAAATATTAGTTTTGTTACCGTATTTATTGTAATAGAATCTTAAATTTGGTAACCCATTTGTTTTCTTGTTTGTTTTTTTGCTGCATATTTGGCATTGATTTTTAAAAATAGCTGTCCAAGTACCTGGGTTATTAAAAATATATATTTAGGAGACAGAAACAAATAAATTATAAAAAATATATTTTAGCTGAATACATTTTTAATGATGCACTGTTAGGGTCTTCAAAAAAATTTCCTTAAAGAGAAAAGATATTCAGAAAATCCCAAATAGAATAAATTCCTAAACATGGACTGACACCCGCTTGTATTTGTGCCTGCTGAGGCCTGATGCTGGAGGCGATCAGAATAAAGCCTGACAGGGCTCGTAGAGCCAGACTCTGTGTTTGGAGCAAAAAACAAACAACATAAAAAAAAAAAAAAAGCCTGTGATCACAGAAGTGCCCAGCCAGTGAACCTACATCTGTCAGAATGACAGAACACGCAGACAGACACAGAAAAACAAAACCTGGCATATAAATGAACTGAGTAGTAATGCCTACAGATACATGGTAGATGCAGATGAACCATATAACAGGGGAAGGTTTCACCCTGAAATAGGGAAATAAAAAAATCTACATTTTGTTTTCTACAATGTGATTCACCAGTGTTTGCACTACTGCTGCTTTTTCAGATTTTCTCTTGTTAAAGCTACAAACATTTATCTATTAATTGAGATTGTATATAATAGCCTATTGATAAACATTTATTACAAATACATTTTAGAGGGTCTTGTACTTTATATTTATATACATTTTATTTTGAAACCCATAAAAAAACCCATGAACATTTTTAGAAGTCGTCTAATTAATAAATGTTTTTTAGATTGAATATGGGTTTTTGTAATGGCCCCAGAAAGTAAAGTATAATAAACCAATCTGCCTGATGTAAAGAATCTAGGGCTGCAACTTACAATCATTTTGCAAATTGATTAATCTGTTAATTTTTTCGATTAATCGATTAGTAATTGGATAGCGAAAGGTTGCTTAAAGAAGATTTTTTTTACGAAATTAAACCAGGTGAAGCTAAAGTTGAAAATTTTCCACCTGAGGAGTTCTGGATAGAGGATATTGCCGGACTAAAACGTTTTTTTTTTGTATTTTTTTTTACTTAAATTTAAAATGTTTATGTGTTTTCTTTTACAATTTTGATATAATTTCTGCTATAAGTGGGTCGCTCTGTTAGCTAAAGGCATGTTTTACAGTCTCTGTACTGCATTTATGATTAGTTTTCTTATAGATTACTAAATTAGTTGACTATTTTAATAATTGATTAATCCTGATTAATGGGCTTAATTATTTGAGCCCTAAATGATCACAATAGATCAACAGCACAGGGGGGAAGCTCTGTGATAGAAAACAGGCATCAGAGTGTTGCCATAAGATGATTTGTTTACCATCATGACAACAGCATGTTGACAATAGTAAAAGTGATGTGGTCAGATAAGAACTGATGTGACCTACGTGAAAACTCTAGTAGTTTGTGGGCAGGGGGCGGGGGGGACTACAGTACTTACATATCAGGCTGAACATGAAAGCAGTGCAACATGTGAGTGGCCCATCGTGCTGTAGGGAGTGGATTTGTAGACCTAAATATAGGGAGGTTTGGGAAGAAAAGTTGTTGGATTCTGCTGAAGACATTAGACATGTTTAAGGTCACCTTCCTACAGCCAGTCAGACTGGAATGGATACGATCAAAGTAGCTTCATTTTATTATGATCTGTGTTAAATCTACAGTAGTAGTTGGAAAAAACGGAACTAGACAGAACTGTCATTCTGAAGGTGAACAAAGCTTTCTGTGAAATATCCTAAAATATTATCAGTTATAACTGCTATGAAGTTCATTCTTTAAAGCAGGTCTGAATATAAATAATTTTTATTTGTACAGCAATTTTAAAAATCATATGTGATCATCCTTCAGTTTTTATAATCATGCACTACTTTCTGTTGGTCCATCACGTGAAATCTCATCAGAACGCACCAAGGTTAATGTTTGAATTCTGAAAAAATGTAAATAAATACTTCTGTAGAGAAACTCTCAATCCCAGTTTCTCCTGTTTCTGTAAATACGTTGATGACTTTCGGTGTAAATCCTTTTCTCATTCGCACTCAGAACATGAAAGCCGGCACTCGGTTTTTAAAACCATCTTAATTGGCTGCTTGAGATGAACTATGAATCCATCCCCAGGACTAATCACAGGTTGCTTTCAGTGGATTTTCTCAGCACTCTGACATTTGTTTCTCCCACCCACCTCCTCCCATCTTTTTCCCCACTCTGCACCTTTTCTTGTGCAGGACAAAATTCCCACTGATTAAAATTATGCTTATTTAGGCCTCCCTGTGGCATAGAGTTGAGATGTCGAGAGGAAATCAGATGGATTCCCTCTTTGAATGGCTTGTGTGCTGTCCCCTCTCTGTCAGAGCTCTGAATTCAGCGCCAAAATGAGGCTGTGATACAGAGGCCAAAAAAGTAAAGACAAAAAGAAGCAGGGGTGAAGATATGTCAGCTTTTGAGACGGCACAAGACATCAGGTGGAGAATGAAAGCACTTGTCACCTGTCGCTGAGTTTCTCCTGATGAGCGTTGGAAGGAGCTGTCAGTGAAATATTCCTCTGGCTTTCTGCAATCCTTCCCTAATTTTATTTCTTTACATTTCCCGACACACTTAGTCATTCATCTACCCACTCATGATTATTCATGTCGCTCCCTTGAATGTGTGACATTGACAAACTCCCACCAGCCAGGGAAGTGCTCTGCCGCTGTTCATATTGCTGTTTTGATCTTTTAAAACACAAAGAAGGTGGATGCTTTCTTAGACTATTTTCTGTTAGTCAACTCTGCCTCTTTCCTAGAGGAAAATACATGAGAGTAGAACTGGTATAGTGGGAGATATATTGTTAGTTGTGGAACAGCAGGGATGAAATTGGTAATGAAAATCACTTTAACCTTTAATTAAACAGCAGCAAGGGATGGAGAAGCCACATAAAATATCAAAGGGCAAAAAGCAATTATTCTTAATAAGCTGAATTGTCGCAGCAAGCGATCTGTTAGTATAAGAGGGTCACTTTTGTCAAATTGCCTCCACTGCTCCCTCCGTTCAGCCAGACAGAAATTGTATAAAATCCTTGAGTAAAAGGTTATATATCCCTCACCCTCCAGCCTGGCTGAGACATACTCCTTCCTTCAGCTTATTTTTACCAAAAAATAAAAAACAAACAGCAGGAAAAAAATGAAGTCACTCTGATACAAAAAAATAGGCTTTAGCTTAGTAAAAAAAAAATTGGAAGGATGACATTTTTGCAACATTTGCATCTCTAACTTGTCACTAGATGAGGACTAGAGATAAAGGCTTTAGATTTATTGCAATTTAGAGTACAGATAAATCACTGTCAAGTAAAAAAAAGTCTGTGATCATGGGTGTTTTCATCCGTTGAAGCTGTCAGGATGCTTCAAATGGACTGGTGTGTTTGACTTTAGGCAGATGAGTTGTGTGCTTCCTCTGGTGTGGGCCAAAGGAGGAAAATTGGTCTACTTCTTCTGGTTGGTCTACTTCAAAGTGATTAGTGTCTGTAGGTGTGTGTGTGTGTGTGTGTGTGTGTGTGTGTGTGTGTGTGTGTGTGTGTGTGTGTGTGTGTGTGTGTGTGTGTGTGTGTGTGTTTGTGAAAAGATCAGTCACAGGGTTTTATGACAATCCAATAAAAAAGAAAAATTGTCATTGAGTCACCACATAAAGCCAGATCAGCTTTGATGCACTTTGAAGTGCTAAGTCTCTGGATGCTACTGCAGAGGTGAACACTAATCTTACCAAAGTCTTTTGCTCCTTTTCGGTATCAGTCTTGATGCAATGAGCTCAAAAAAAGATTTGTATGAGCACTTACTGTACAGATGGCCACATATACAGGATGATAAATCCACTTACTTAAACTTTACCCTCAAGCAGTTCTCTACTTATACTTCAAAATGGTCAGGGTCTGTAGATCTCCACTGTTCTGAAGCAATTGTATTTAAATTAGCAGCTTTTTTACTTCTTTTTAGTTAACAAGTCAAACATTTGCTCACAAAGTTTGGAATGTTAACAGCAGTAGGACAAAAGAAGTATTGGACTTTAAAATCTCAACAACAAAGGACCTTAGAGATCATCAATCTTTGGTCATCAGCTGTCAAGCTATAGATTAAGCTAATGGTTCTCTTGGACTCAGCTTGTTTTTGATAATACATCATTATTCTCTGACTCTGTTTCTTGCATTTGTTGTACTAAAAGGTACTAAAAGATACATTTTAAAATTGTTTCGACGCCAAGCTGTCTGATAAATGTGAATGCAGCACCTGATTCTCTTAGTTAAAGAGCCTTTTTCTTTCTGATTTACAGCTCAAGAGTGTTAGTTTATTAAAAATAGGAACACAGGATATTTTTGTTAGTGAACCAGGGAGAGGTTTTAAGGTTTCCCCCTTATATAATTTGGTAAATTGACCCACTAAGGTGAATAAACATGCCTGTGACAGGTGGCTCATTTTATATCCAGAATAACATTTGTCTTTTTTACATCCAGAGAAACAAAACCAAACCTGGAAAGGTACAAAAAAAGACCACCACCCAATGTTTTGAGTCTGAGATGAACAACCAGCCTGTCGTGATGTTTCTCTTTTGCCTCTTTTTTACTTCCTCTGATGCCATTTTAAACACTTTACTGAAGGTGGAAATGGCTATCGTTTTCCTTTTACCTCACTGACAGGTGCTGGAAATCATCAGATTATATTTAGCAGTGTACTTTCTGGCATATAAATTTATAAGCCTTATTCCCTTTACCTCTAGTTTATTTGTTAATAAAAAGCAATCATGGGATCACAAATCATAATCTCACAAAACCACACTGACTTTTAAATTTCCTCATTCTGCCCTGTGGTTCTTTGAGGTTGGATGCTGTCAAAAAGGCTTTTAGACATCATCAGAATAACTGATGTCATCCACTGGTTGTAAAAGTTGCAGATTTATCTGATTGTTTCTTTTTTTCCCCCTCAAACTAAGAGCAGAATTTCCCAATCATCACTACAGGAACGACAGTTGTTTAAATAAAGCAGTGGGTAATTCAGTTTCCTTTGTAGCCATAACTTTTGACCAGTATTTGTGTGGATAGCTGGTCATCTCCCCCACTGATGTTGTGGAGCAAATGCCAATAAATCTCGACAACCACATGTATTTAAACCCATTGACAGTTTAGGCAAACTCCCTGTTAATCAACAGCGAGGGGAGTTTGGTGCATTAGCAACGGCTGCTCGTTTGTGGAAAAGGTTATCAGTCTGCGCAGCTGCTGAATAGTGATGAACATCTGTGTATTTGGGGAGCTTATTCCATCCGCTGCAGCGGTTCAACTCTACTTCCCGCTGACAGTCAGCACAGAGCGAGCCATTGCAGAACCCACAAGGGATCTGCTTTTCAAAAACCATCTTGCGGAAAACTTCTCGAAATATTCTGCGTGGATCCAAGCGTTGCTCCTGACTGTCAGGTGCTTTCCTAGGAAGAAAAAAAAAAGCACAAACACCAGAGATCCACATCAGAGCCTGCACACCTCAAATAGAAACACTTCACTTGCATTTGCAGCTTGAGTCTGTTTTTTTTCCTTTTCTTTGTTTGTTACCCTGTGCTTGTGAAGACAGTTGTTTGATCAACTTTGACATGCATCTTATTTTATTTATTTATGCACTACGGATCTTGTGCCTTTTTTTCTTTTCAACGGGTCTGGGGCTGAAGTGGAGAAGCGAAAAGGGACTTGGAACTTGTTCTCCTTATTTTTGTGTCCTGCGGTGTTTAAAAAGACTCCCTACAGTGAGGAGTGACTCACTGTGTGTGATTGGGGAGTGTTTTGTGTTTTCTATATCAGATTTGAAAACAACTCTGTAGTCCCTGGCCCTGATTCAGAGACTGTTGGAAAAAAGTTTGCTCAGTGTGTGTTGAACTACCTTGTTTTTAGCTGCCACCAAAGTGCAGCTATAAAAGCACTCAGACGCTTTTATTGATGCAAAGTGCGTCAATAAAAGCTTTGATTTGACAATAATTAGTTTGCTCTGTTCCAGTGTCTCTTCAGGAACTATATTAGAGGAAGATTAAAACATGAGTAAATATTTTCTAGCCTTCCTGACCCTTTAGCATATTTGAGGCAGAGATGACGAAATGGTTATTTAACTAAAAGTTTAAAGCAAATACTTAAGCATCCTACAGTCATTGACATTGCTAAAACTGTGTTTTTTTATGGGTTAAACTTAAAGAAGTGGTGTCAAAGATGGGGGCTTTGGAAAATTGAAAGGAAAAAGTGAAGATTATTTGTGAGGGAGGAAAAAAAAGTGTTTTATCATATTGATATAGTCTTTATTTTTCTCAAATTATCATTATGAAATGTATTGCAGCGCTGTATTGTCTGTCTAAATATGTAGTAGGATATAATTTAATTGTCATGCATTCACACACACACACACTACTTTTCATTTATATACAGTATGGGAACTTATTTAACCCTTACAGCTGAAATTATGTTTCAGTGACTGAAACTCTTGACCTTACAAGGACAGGTGGGAACATTAATATAGGAAAGTTTGTAAGGATGAGGTGGATTTATCAATGTGATCAACGAAGGTTTGTGATTCTTTACAGCTGTTGTGATTTTAACAATAATATCCTAATAGTAGAGGAGTTATTTTTTTAAAAATGTGTTGAAAAAACTTCTGGAATTTCTTTCGCTCAATGTTTAAGTAACATGGGAATGTAAAATGCTTAAAGAAATTAAACTAAACAGTTTTGTAACAGTAATGTTTTTAACCTTGCTGTAAGTCAAATGAATTTGATTATTGTTCCCTTAGTAATAACATCCACACCACACAGTTTCACTTTCTTTCACTAATGGGGAAAGACACTGTGGATGTTTTTTTGCACCTTGTGTGATAAAAGCAGTTCTTTTCCCAGTTTGTCTAAATGTTTTCTCTCCATGTTGAATTTTTCAGTCACCAGACACAGACGACCTGCTGGGATCATCCAAAGATGACAGAGCTCTATCAGTCTCTAGGTAAAACACGCACGCAGACAGAGACACATAGTATTATGTAACATATATATGTATCTCTTCTTGTAAGACTAAAATTAACTTAATTATTTAAGTCAATTGAATTAAATTGATCACTATTATTATTTTATCTCTAAGAAATCATAATTACTCATTTGGTAAAAGTATTTTTGCATTTTACCATCATGATCATGCATCCTTAGTATAATCTGTGCATTTTATTTACTTTCCTGTCCATTGTTTCGTTTTGTTCTTTTGGAAGCAAAAAGTCGTCGTTTGAAAACCAAATTTGGTTAATTGCATAGCCTTAATCTTAGTTGTTATATTAATATTTTAACTCCTAAGTGTCATTCACCTGTAATTTCCAGGTCCTAATTGGAATCTGCAGGTTGTAGGAGCCACAATGCCCATTTTGCTATTTGACCTCCTAAATTAAATTTGTCAGGAGCCATTGAACTAACCATATTCCAAAACTGAATTTGAAACCTAGTAACTGTGCGGATCATATTTTTAAAGATTGAAACAAGAAGAAAAATACAAGAAAACAGATATTTTGGTTTATGTATTTATTTATTTATTTAAAAGGGACAAACAGCATGTACTAATAAACAACAGGAGCTCAAGGCTAGTTTCCATCCATATTTCTGTGGGATAGGGGAATCAGGTACATGGAGATATATGGAGGCAACACCTCCTGTCAGAAAGTTGCATAAATAGATTAAATAATATTAACTAACTACAATTTTAATGAACTTTTTTGCCATGGCTTCTGTTAAAATGCTGACAAACATGTATTTATTGTGATGTAGGTAATTAATAACCTGGACCTGGTCCTCAAATCAAACAATTAGGATGGTCTTTCTGAGCCAATGTATAGTTGTATGGCCAATCAGGAGACAATTTAGCACAAACCATTGCTCTAGATTGAAAAAAAAAATTCAGGAAAATAACTAAACCTCATGGTTTTTTTGATAATTATCTTTCAAAACAATCAGCAGTATCATTCCGATCCAGGAGCTGAATGGTGCATGACTATAAAGGGCCAAATTGGTTGCAGGTTTTATCAGTTTAGAAAGCTATAAAAGATTAATGAGAGAGGATGAAAAGGATCCTAAATAAGTAATTTTTTTTGAACAAATACAATGAAAGACGTTAATTATCATATTAGAACCGACAGAACATTCATTGTGTATCTGTGTGTGTGGTAGTTTTTTATACCTGCTTCAGCTTGAATATTGGTCAAAATTGTCTCTTAGGCTCTGTCCGAATGTCCGCCATAATCACTATATTGGGCACTATATAATGGTTATGCCATTTTAGATGAGTGTACGAATGTCTAGTGGATGAAAAAGTAGTAGAATCGAAATTTCCCACAATGCAACTTAAAAAGTAGTGATCATCCATGGTCAATAGACAAGCAGATATATCCCAGAATGCTTTGGGAGGAGAGCTGTCCTCCCAAAGCATTATGCTCTCACAGCTAATAAGATCCTGCAGGCACTGTGCGGTGGAGGCGCAGTTATGTCACCAACAGGGAGCGAAAAGCAGTGATCATCTGTCCGAGCGGTCAGTTAACCATGTTCACTATGAAGACCATGCTCTATATAGTGATTGAGGGATTTAGGGGTTAGGGAGGACGTTCGGACACAGCCTTAGATTCTCTGATTTCTTTGATCTTATTTGATATTTGTTCAGAAGTAAATAAGGATCTAGAAAGCAAAGAAAAAATGAACAGTACATCTGTTAGATGGAAAGAAAAAAAGAGGCCTTGGTGTATGCAGAATGGGCTGGTACTGTATGAGATTCTCAGGCTATGAAATGAAGTAAAACACAAAATCCTCCATTATAAACATAAATGGAGTCCAGAATAATATTTATCTACTGGTAGAATAACTCTATCTGAAACAGATATTGTGTTTTGCTGCTTAATTTATTTAACATTGAGAGGTGTGGATGGTAATGATTTTGTTTTGATAAGGGGGATGGACTGCAGGACTAGATATTTTCACAGCTTTACACATAATGTCAAACAAATTATTAGCAGAGAGCTTAATGTACAACCTCTCCAGAAGAGAAATTAAATGTAAGCAGTAATAACACAAGCATAAAATAGAGGCCATTTTATACAAAGTCCTATGAAAGGTCAAGTTAAAACAGGTCTTCGTCAATCAATCTTCAGAGCTGAAGTGATTTACTAACTGTAACGATACCTGGAAAGCAAATCTAAAGGCTCTTTGTACCTGTAAGAAGTGTTTATAAACTAGAATATCTACAGAAGGACTGACATTTTCTCTGTTTTTTTAGTAAAAAAAATAATAATAATAATACTTAAGGAAAATAAGCACTGTAGAGGTTTTAAATGCTTACCTGATAGATTAGGAATTCACACCAGAGGAGTGCACACTTTGTATTTATCATTAAATAAATCTAGATTTTACATTCAACCTACTTCGACTGTTATCTTACCTCTTTGATACTTCCTATCAATACCCTAATGCATGTCTGGTTCCCAGTGGTAAGGGCAAAAACAACTGTTCATTAATAAGCAGACTGATTGGTTATGACCTCAGAAAGTCGGGCAGCATTTTCTGTAGGGCAGCAGCTCAACAAATAGCTCTATCCGTCCTCAGAGATGGAAACTTGCTGACCTAATTACACATATCCTGCATTAGAACTGTTCTCCTCCTGGTTCCCTCTATAGAAAAGTTAGATTTGAGTGAAGACACACGTTCTGCTTATGATGCCCTGCAGGCAGATTTGTGTTGCTGTTTTTTCCCCCTGATCTTCCCACCTTCATTTTTTTCCCAGTTGTCAATTCACCTTTCATCTTCCTGTCTTTTCTCCTCTGCCTGCAGCGGACTTAAATAATGTGAGATTCTCGGCATACCGGACAGCCATGAAGATTCGCAGACTACAAAAGGCCCTGTGCTGTGAGTAAGATACACACATTCTCACCTTTGTGTCCACAGCCAGAGTCTGCTCCATTTTCTCCTCTCTTTCAGGGAAAAGGTAATGATTTGAAATTTTGCCAGGTGCTGGGTCAATGCAACATAGGTGGCAGACATATTTTGGCTTTTAAATTACATTTTGCTGCATGACTGTATTGATTTTTTTTTATATGTGCATCTGCTGGTGGGGGATGTGTCCACCAGTCGCAGCTGTTCCTGGTGTTAAGCTTGTTGACTACAGCCTTATTTTGGTGTGCACAGGTGTTTTTTTTCCCTTCATAATCTTTTAGCTCATATTTTCTGCTTTGTAATGGAAGCTTTGAGTAAGGCTGCTATTACCTACAGTCCCAGGTGGCTCTTACACATACCTTCCTACTCACACACAGTCAAACACACTTTACAGTTGCATGGAGATTTCCTCCTGGGTGGTTTCACCCAGCATGTAAGCAGCTACTTGGAGTCATAGCATTGTAATAATGGTGACAAATGATGACTGTTATCCAGATGCTGACATAATGAACGCAGCAGATCACTGTTAGAGACCCCCTCTCATTTATTCCCTGCTGTTTGTTGAAAGTTGGAGAGAGAATGGGAATGCTGTAAGGATCCAGAAACGCCAAAAACAGACATTGGTTTGCTGTTTGTGCTGCTTGTTGCCGTTTTTAAATGAGTTTTCTAATGATTTAGGTGTTTTTGTTTGCAGTCTGATTGCTTTTATTATCTAATGGTTTTGAAATGAAAATAAATATGTAGAACTCATTTTGATGCCTGGATTCTGTATCATTAGATTAGAGCAAACATGTGGGATGGTGAAAAAAAAGGAATCACTACAGAAGGATCACTATACGTTAAGTTAGATTAACGTGACTCTCTGTAAAGAAAATCCATAAGAAATATTCAGTACAAGTGCTTAAAATAGGTTTAAACTATGACGCAAGTCCAGAGGCAACTATTTTAGAAATATGGACCAGCTTCAAGTCAGGTTCTTTAAAAATGAAGCCAAAGAGAATTTTGGTTTCAACGTGTTGCTCATAAACTTCTTTTGTTTCATCGGAAAAATATTCCCAGAAATTCATGCAAATGTAAAGTATCTCTGTTTTTTAATTCTTCGCCAAACGCTAAAGGCAAAAATCTGAATTTGAGTTGTCTTGAATGAACAACTCTGAGAGTTATAGGCCATCAAGCTCATTATTCTTTTTTTTTTTGTAGAAATGTCAGTGTTTGGTAATAAATCCTGAGATTCAAACCTTGGGATCAGAAGTTTGATGAAAAAAAACTTTAGGGTCTTGTAGTTGAAGTTCCTACACAATTTGGAGGAATCTGGATTTTCAGTATTTTGCATATCTGTCCATTCATTTATCCATTCATCTATGAAAGTGGATTGAGCGATCGGTTTACCTTAGAGAAAGAGTAAGCTTTCTTTGAAAACCAGTGAAGTACTCAGGGATGACCTAAACTTGAACCTTAAGTGTTTGTAACTCTAATTTGCTGTTTGACTTTTCAAACTAAACAAGATATAAGGTGTTAATTAACATGCTTTAAAGTGAACAAGCTTTAAACCTAATGGGCAGAGAGAGCCCAGCTGTTCTCTCTCTTCGCCTGAAATGGACCAAGTTGCTGATCTAGTTTGATGCTGAGCAGATGGATAAGCCAAAGTATGGTATTGATTAAGTCATCAACCTCCTGGCATAAAGGAAGAAACGCACAATGACCAAAGTAATTGCGTTCCTGTGACTTATTCCCCCCCATAAGTGAAGTTTCTTCAATAATTAAAACAGAAAGAATCCCCTAATGGGGACGTTTTCATCGGTTTACAAAATTGAAACTTTGTTGATCAGTTGTTAGAAACCTGAGTTCCTGGTGCTCAAAGATCGAATAAAGCCAAATTAGATTAAGAGCATCAGTGTACATACATCCAGGTCTTATAATAATGTTAACCTACCTTAAAATGAACTGTAAATATCAGCAACATGTTCATATTTTAAATATTTCGAGTTTTTTGGCAGTAGATACCAGCTTTAGGTAGTTCCTATCACCTTTATTAATGAATATTTTACTGTAATCACACTCTCTTTACATGGATCAGAGTTTTTCTCCTCTTCGTCCCACAAGCAGACCCATTTTTGTGGGTTTCTAAATTGACCGTGTATGAACGCAAAATAGCTTTAGTCCAACCCAGATGAGGAAAGCCTTTGTCTCTTCGGACTCAGTACGACGTCATAGAAGTGATGAGATGTTATCAAAATTCTACTTGTTCCGCTGATTGTTGTTTAGCAGTGCTGCTGCAAGCATGCAGTGGATCTTCCTCTGCTCCACGAATGCATTTTCCAATACCTTTACAAAATTAATAATTAAAAGTCTTATGCAGCCATAATAACAGCATAAATATGCATTAGAGGTGCTGCATGGAGTCTGTGCTTTGTCCTGCCAAAGTCTTTCTAAAAACATCAGATGCATGGCTTTGTTGTAAGTCCACTTGCAAAAATTACAATTTGCAAATAAATTTTGATTTCTGATTTTGATAACTTTACTGGTTTGAATAAACCCTAAATGAGGTGTAGAGATCTCATTGTATTAATAAACAAACTCAATAATTATGGGTGTCAGATGTCTATTAACCATTACTTCAGATTGCATTCCTGCCTTTAAACAGCAGTTTTTGTTTGTACTCCTTATAAACCGATTTCCTGGAATAAGGGCCATGTTTCCAAATCCAAGGTTGAGGTTTAACAATAAAAGAGATAAAACGGAGCACATTGCCCCTATATTTTTAACTTTACAGTTATCTACTGTTATCTTCCTTCATTAAAACTTAATAAAAACAGACACACCTTTAAACTGTCTTGTTAAATTATTACACCTTTTGTGTTCTGCTGACTTACCTTTTAAACAAACACTTAAGTCTGAGTCTTTGTCAATTTTTTTATTGTGATGCGGATAAAGATCAAATAATTTTTGATTTCTCTACTTTTATGAACGTATTTTGGCTTTCCTGAGTTGCTGGTGTGAGAGCATGCAGCTGTCAACTTTGGATTTACTTCTGTTGTAACTTGGTCGTCCCATTAGATGTTCTTTTTGTCCTTTTTTTTTAGATCACAAAAGTGACGAGGAGAATATGATAAAACTATGAGATATTGATTTAACAATAATGGCGTTATTTTTGTCTGTGGAGTAGGAGCCAACAAATTAAATTAAAAAGCCGACTGCTACATTAACTGCCTCATTTGTCTAGACTTTAGATTTCTTCCATATTAATATTTCATTGCTCAGATTGATCTCTTCCATGTATTCCCAGCAGAAGCTTCCATTGACTTGTTTTGGAATATTATAGCTGAAACGCCCTTGAAATATTTAAGGTTTTGTTTTCTATATATAGCACATGCCTTTTTTAGCTTGTTCTTTTCAGTCTAGATTTGCTTTAAATCTTGTAATCTGAGCTGCGGTAAAAAAATCATGGTTTGTTTTTCTCATTTCAATTCTTTCTCTGTCTGCTCTCTTCCTCACCTCCCTTCCCCTTGACTTTTATTTACTTCTCTTCATTCCCCCCTTTCCCCCGGCTTTGTCCTGAACTTTCCCTTTCTGCAGTGGACTTGCTGGATCTCAGTGTCGCCCAGAACACCTTTGAGCAACACAAACTCACCAACAACAGCCACCTGCTCTCCGTCCCGGAAGTCATCAACTGCCTGACATCCATCTATGATGGCCTGGAGCAAGAGCACAAAGACCTGGTCAACGTGCCTCTCTGTGTTGATATGTGTCTCAACTGGCTGCTCAATGTTTACGACACGTGAGTAGAAAATCCATCACAGAAATATCTATCAATCTATAAACCTTGGTTAGTGACATAAAAAATTGATTGGATTATGCTGTATGAGAAAAAAAAATACTAGTATATTATTAGTGAGTGGAGAATGGTGCAAATAACAGCTTAGAAGCTAGACTAATACTTGTACACTCAACAAATCCAGCCTATATGGAAGATTAACAAGATGAAAGAGTATTTCCAAAAGTTTTCCAATAGTTATAAAATACCCCACTTCATATTCACTTCAAAATTTTGTCTTTGAAAGAAAGGCTCTGGTTGTAAGTTTTAATTGTGGCCGTTTAGTGTATTAGCCAATTTAGCAGCTTTCTGACCAGAGAGGACCTACGAAAATATAAAAAGCAAATCTTGCAGTGGAATTGCTTTGTACGAGACGTTTTGTTTTTGTCATCTTTTGCCCCGGTGTTTAGTGCCACTTCCGTCATTTTCTGTTTGCCTCTTCCTCTACCATATTTCATCACCCAGTTCTAATAATAAAAAGATCAATGTTCATTACTGGCTTTCTATTTAGTTTCTTATTTATGCATCCTGTTGCAACATTTCAGTCATTAAATATACAGAAAGTGGTTGCGTATTTGTGCCCAGGCATCTTGTGCCTAGAATACCTATTTAATGTTATTCTTAATGCTTATTTAGCTTAAATTTATCACAATTGCATCTAGCATCAGAGTAGACAGGTTCCATTAATAAAGCATTAACCTGCTTTTGCATAACCTTCAATTATCATTTTATGGATATGCTGACATGTCTGTCAAAGTTATGCTGAAGCACAGAGTCTTGCAGACAGGAGTTCACTGATGTGAAGGATTTACTTTTGCATTGAGTCCCTATGATTTAGTTGTATTTTATTTTAAAGCCTGGAGCTTTAAAGACAACAACTGCTCAGTAAAACATGGCATTGGCAGCATTATACTGTGGGATTCACCTAAGCAGGGTCAATGAAGCAGGTCAGAGCAAATATTACTTTCTATCATCCAACTTCCGTGCAACTGAAATGCATTCAAGTGAAAACACAACAAAATGTTCAGTGCTTATAAAAAATCTTAAGGGAACGCGTGTTTTCAGGGAACACACATAGATTTAGCATTATGCTAATTACTGTGGTATTGTCAGTATGTCGTACCTACACCATCAAGCGCCTTGGTTGGCAGGAAAATAAGCTGTTGCGTAATGTATTTACCAAGAGCTGACATTCACATTCAAATTGGCATGAACACATCATCATCTGTGTATAATTAGGTGTGTCTACATGCTGTAAGCCAGTGTCGTTTCTGGTGTAAACACTGTTTGAGGGTAAACAGAATATGGAATTAGAATAAAATATGCACACACACAAACACCTAACGATTTTCTCTTATTTTCCATCCATGTATTAAACATTGTTGACATAGAGATTCTCGCACTAAAAATATAACCAGCAAGACTATTCATGGTGTTGTGTTGATTTCTCTGTCTGCAGTGGTCGCAGTGGGAAGATTCGCGTCCTCTCCATGAAGATTGGCTTGCTGTCTCTCTCCAAGGGGCACTTAGAGGAGAAGTATAAATGTGAGTGAAAGTGAGTGGGTGATGTGTGTTTACGGGGGTACGCGTGTTTGGAAATGCACAGCTGTCCCCGCTCCCCTACGCAAATCTTCCTGCACCCACGCTGCTTCACTACAGCTGTAATCCTGGTAGTATTAATCAAACACAGTAAGGAGGGGGGACAAAGCGTCAGTGAATGGTTTGTCTAATTGGATGAGAGACCTCCTACGTTCCCCCTGTTCTTGATTGAATTCTGCCTTTTGATTGTTTTTTTTCTCTTTTTTTTTCTGGAGGATTAGACGAAGTGAGCATTGGCTCGCTGCATTGGGAGACGACTTGTCAGTCTGGCTTCAAGCTCTTTGTCTCTGCTGCCGTATATCTCTCAGTCCGTCTTCTTTCCCTGCCACAGCCTGCTCCATTGTTCATCTGTCCAACAGTTCCTCTTTCTTTATTTTCCTATCTCACTTACCCTTGCTTCTCCCCCGTTCTTCCTTTTCCTCTTCCTTTCTCTTTCCATGGTATGAACCCCATCCCTGAGCTTATTCGTTCCACTGGCAGTTCCTATTAGCTTGAGGAGGGCATCAAGCACGGTTGATTGCATTCTTCCTCCTTTACTTTAGTGTTTCATTTGCTGTCAATCCCATGCATTTACTCTCACTGAATTGCACAGATCCCAAACCAGGTGTTCTGCAGTTTTACACTCCATAGTTGCAAATGTCATATCTAATTGTTTAGCAGAGAGTCACCTATTTTAGCTGTGGGTGTTGAGCGGTCAGTTGTCTTGAGAGCTAAATGTAATAAAGGGGACAAGTAGGTCACCAATGCATATAATTGTGGAAGTGTGCACATGTTTTACGGAGGCTGGCATCGCAGCCTGTGCTGCAAGGAGATCAAAGGCAGCTAAAAAACTGAGCAGAAAGAGTGGTGACAGTGTTCTCCCTTTCTCCGGTTTACACTCTGTTCTTTATTTTTTATTACAATATCTTTGTGATCTTTCATGATGTTTTAAAAAACCGTGAACATGTGATAAATTTCACGTTCCCCATAGGCCTCCTTATCCAGTGAGGCTTTCACAAAGTTGGCAGCAGGGAAGATAGATTAGCTGGGGAACATTCTAGCCTGGAATAAAAGACAGATTCAATATGAATCTTTTCCTGTTTTTTTGCGTCTTCCCTACAAGGCTCCTACCTGTATGTTACACACATCTCCTCCCACTTGCAGCTTTACCATCTCTCATTCTCCCTTCGCATCTATTTATACTTGCATATTTCTTCCCGATATCACCCACATTTTCCAGCCTATTCCCCACTCCTTCGTTCTAATTTTATTCCCTTTTATTTTGCTGCACTCCTCCACAGATCTCTTCAGCCAGGTGGCGTCGGCTGGTGACACGTGCGACCAGAGGCAGCTCGGTCTGCTGCTCCATGAAGCCATCCAGATCCCCAGGCAACTGGGGGAGGTGGCCGCGTTTGGTGGCTCCAACATTGAACCCAGCGTCCGCAGCTGTTTCCAGCATGTAAGAAAACACCAAATGTTTCAAAGCTCATCCCGCAGCACTTAATGGGGTCTTGCAAAAGTATTATATCGGTACTTTAGCTACAGTACATCTCAGACACATAGTTTTTTTTTTTTGATTGATCATTTATTTCGAACACTTAATAAAAAGCAAATATAAGTAAATTAATAAAGTCATACAAAACAAAACAAAAAAAGAAGAAAAAAAAAAATAAATAAAACATATGTACATCCCATCATGTTCGAAAAGGAGTAGGAAGAAGTAATAAAACTTATTAAATCCTACCCCTGTTCTATATTAACATCTACCAATGTTTAAGCATACATACATATCTATATATACAGACACACACACACATACATATATACATATATATATATATACATACACATACTCATAGATACCTATACATATATATACACACATGCATACTTACACATACACCCGTATCTCAAACACATACACACATACATGCATATACATACACACCCCAATTACTATAGACAGTATACACATATCTCTATCTATGTACACGTATATCCATACATATCCATAAACCAAAAACCCTATTCTCTCACACTTTTTTTTTTTTTTTTTTTTTATTATTTCATCTCTCTTGACTTCTTATCGATTTTAATTCATAGTGGCAGAGCAAGTTCTATTCCCCCTCAAGCCCCCTCCTCCCTGTATCTTGTAAAAATCATTTGTTTATATTTGTTTTTAAACTGGTTGATGTTTGGACATTGCTTCAAATCCATGCTCAGTCTGTTCCATAGCCTCACTCCACTATTTGTTATACAAAATCTTTTCCTTGCAGTTCTGTATCTTTGAATCTTAAAATTAGTTATCTCCCTTAACACTAGATGTCCCAGAGATTTTCAGTTTTCCTGCAAGCCCCCCTCCCCTCTGCAAGTTTGTGTATTCACTCTGCCTTGCTAACTGTCCCTATTGTAATGCAAATAACCTGTGATATGACCAGCCCTTCTACATTAAGACTGGATAAAGGCTGAAACAAACTGGCATCAAGACCATGTTCCAAGCACTTTTCAGTACATGCCCCTGCAACATCATACCTTTTTGCAGGAATATATTTATATGTCATATCTAAATCTTTTATTTAGGCAAACCTATTGAACAACCAGATATCATAGTGGTCCTAGTTCCTGAGCTGAGAACAAGTCATAACCATGCTTTTCCAACAAGGCAAGGCAGAGCCTATTTCTATTGTCCATTCACCAACAGACTCATTCATATTGCAAAGCTCACTATATGAAAGAAAGAATAATTGTATTTTGTCTTGTCTCGCCTTTTTATGTCATTCAAAATTTAATCTTAGAGAATGACAAACAGTATGCCTTTAGTATTGGAGTAACATTTATGTCACAAAAGGAACAGCCCTAGTCTCTTCATCTCACAATGCTGTCTCATGTGTTCTTCCTTTATTGCCTTTTCTTGCATACAAATGTTACGAAGTTCATTTGCAAGTAGCAGAATTAACTTTGGTGGACTCTCTTTGGTCCCTGTGCACGGCTTGTACAACACATGCTCGTCTGTTGCAGCCAAGGTTGTACGCCAAGCCAAGCCAAGCTTGAAATCTCAATAACTCTGAGTCGATCTGCTGGGCCTATTTATTCTGGGAGCTAGACTTCCCACCCACAACCTTTACATTTCCCCCTGCCGCCAGATTGGAATTTGAGCTGGAAACGGGTTTCCAGCACAAAACCGGCTTTCCGCTGGAAATCATGAGCGGATGATGTTTGCTTGTTTGCCCTTTAGTAAATAGGGCAGATGGTCATTGTTGTATAAATATTCTTGTCAGCTGATAGAGATGTTTTCATTGTACAGATCAGTTGGGGGGACTGGAGCCCAATTCCCACCCCAAACAGCTCAGTTTTGAAAAACAACAGACAAAAGGTATACGCTCAGAAAGTTTTTTTTTTTTTCAGATAAAGAAAAACAGTCTACATATGGATAAAGCACTAAATATAATGTGGAAAAATGTAAAATGCAATTGTCCCATCTAGCAGTTTCCACATTCCCATGGCAAGCCTTTCCTACATTTGCCACAGGTAAATTTGCCGCAGTGGACACAATGTTCAGTACTTCTGTTGTTATTGCAGAGTATGCGCACCTGGCATTGAGTCTTTTTCTGCTGGGAAACTCTCATCTCACGACGTAGCTGTTTTTGCTCTTCCTCTTGTGTCTTTTCCTGCAGGAGCCTGTTTTTGAGTTCCTCTGAAAGCTCCAGCATGAACAGTCGACGACTTTCTTTGGATCCTGTACACGCTGTGTACAAAACAAGTGCATTTGTGGCGGCCATGTCAAGCAGGTTATAAAACACAGCCATAGGCCACCTCCGTGTTCCTGCACGCACAGAGTAGTTGCACAGTTTCTGGTCCATAATATCAACACCACATTTGAGATGGTTGTAATCAACCACAGTGTTTGGTTTTTGTTTTTGAATGTCCACAATTTCCACTCTGTGATGCATGGTACTCAGGCATTACACATGTATTTTGTGTCCAGATCTGCTGCAATCCAAAACTTGATTCCAAACTTGTCAGGCTTGGATGCAATGTACTGCAAAAAGGGGCACCGAACCTCGGACGGAAACAGCTGCTCATCCACAGTAACATGCTGTCCTGGACTGTAGGACGACACACAGTTCTGAACAAACCACATCCAGATGTCAGAAATTGCTGCAAATTTGTCATTGTGTATGCGTTCCTTGCGGGTGTCCTTGTTGTCAAAACGAAGGTACCGTCTTATTTCAAAAAAACGGTTACGAGGCATTATGGGTTTGATATCTGCGTTTCCGAATTTATTGGCCCACATGTGTGGCATGGGACCAATGTAACCCATGGCAGCCCTTCGAAAAAGGATTGCAAGGAAAGCCATCAGCTCGTAGACACTCATCTGCCAGCTGGGGTTTGTTCTGAGGGCCTCGTGGACTGTGCAGTCTCTGATGGTCAGCAACATGTTCATATCCAACAAACACAGGAAGCTGCGAAGGCGGCTTGTGATTTTGCGTTTCGCATAATCTGTTGGCCCTCCTGATCCATTGAAGGCAGTCTGTGGGGTTTCAGGAACAGAAAAGTCTTCAACTTTCCAGTGGGACCAAACAGTGCCATCTTTCGCCTTCTCTATGGATCCAGGCATTGTGCCAACATCAGCAGTTTTTTGTTCTTTGCAAGGAGGGGAGTTGCCGCGCACTGTGTCTTCCTCTTCATCTGATGTAGCCTCAGTGTTTGAACTGTCCCGCTCAATCATATAATTGACCACTCGGCCCCTGGTGCGTCTTTGGAGGGGAGGATTTGCTGGTTCGAAAGCAGTCGCATTCTCATATGAATCATCCTCTTCACTTGAAGAATCGGTTGCGCCGTTTTCATTCTGAAATGCTAAGTCTCCAACAGATCCACCATCAGATTCGTAGTCTGGCATGCTCTGAAGCATGGCTAAAGCCTCTTGAGCGTTCATCCTTCTTGGTCGCCTTGGTTGTGCCATGGTGAATTCCGGGTGAATTCTGAGTCTGTGTGCTGTGCCTGCTTTATTTATCCCCACAGAAATTCTGTAAATTACTCAACTCCTTGAAAAAGCTCATTTAAAACACAAAGGGAAGCAACTTTAACAAAGAAACCCCAGCACACCAGCTGAAGTCACCAAACCACATTCCTACATTTGCATTTGATTTGAAAATGGAGCACCAGAGGAGAGCCGTTAACACCTTTGGGGGGATACTTGATACAAACTAGGTGCAGACTAAAGTCTGCATTTTGGGACTTCTAGTGTTAAATCATACCCCCCCTCTCTCTCATAAAACAAATTTGTCAAGTGACTTGGTAACAGCTTATTTCTAGCTTTAAATAGAAATTGTGCTGTTTGGAATTCTATCATATCATAAAGCTTCATGATTTTAGACATTATAAATAGTGTGTTGGTGTGTTCTCGATATCCAACTTTATGAATTATTCTCATGGCTCTTTTTTGCAATATGAACAGTGGCTCTAGTGAACTTTTATATGTGCTTCCCCATACCTCTATACAGTAAATTAAATGAGGTAAGACCAAAGAACAGAACAGAGCATGGAGTGATTTGTAATCTAAAAAATATCTTACTTTGGCTATTACAGAGATGCTTTTAGATATTTTAGTGCTGATGTATTTAATATGAGACTTCCAGCAAATCTTGTCATTTATTATCACCCCGAGAAATTTAGTTTCATATACTTTCTCTATATCAACCCCTCCTATCTGTACCCGTGCATGATGATTTATTTTTTTGTTACCAAATATCATATATTTTGTTTTACTCAAATTTAGTGACAGTTTATTTTTATTTAGCCAGTATTTAATATTAATGAATTCTGAGGTGATAGTGTCCAAAAGTTGCTGTAAATTCTCACCTGATCCTATTATATTTGTGTCATCCGCAAATAAAATAAATTTGAGTTTTTGTGATATCTTACATATGTCATTAATGTACATGATGAATAATTTAGGACCCAAGACCGACCCCTGTGGTACACCACACACAATGTCCAAACATCTTGACTGATGATCTCCCATCTTCACAAATTGCTTCCTGTTTTTTAAATAACTTCTTACCCACTCTAGTGCCAGTCCCCTGCTCCCATATTGCTCTAATTTGTTAATTAATATATCATGATTTATAGTATCAAATGCTTTTTTTAGATCAATAAAAACCCCAACAGAATATTTCTTGCTATCTATGGAATTTGTTGTTTCTTCTATTAGTTCAATTAATGCTTGTGATGTTGATCGATTTCTTCTGAATCCATATTGATTATCTGAGAGTAAATTATGTCTTTCTATGAAATTGTCTAACCTGTAATTGACAACTTTTTCCAGAATTTTTGAAAACTGTGGGAGAAGAGAAACCGGTCTGTAATTTGTGAAATTATGCTTGTCCCCAGTTTTGTACACAGGAATAACTTTAGCTATTTTCATATTATTGGGAAATTTACCGGTTTGTAATGATA